TCAGAGCCTTGCATCAGTCAGCCTACACAGTTTACTCTAGTATTAGGTACTCCAGATGAGCATCTACCTCAGAGCCTTGCATCAGTCTGCCTACACAGTTTACTCTAGTACTTAGGCGCTCCAGATGAGCATCTACCTCGGAGCCTTGCATCAGTCTGCCTACAAAGTTTACTCTAGTATTAGGTACTCCAGATGAGCATCTACCTCAGAGCCTTGTACCAGTCAGCCTACACAGTTTACTCTAGTATTAGGTACTCCAGATGAGCATCTACCTCAGAGCCTTGTACCAGTCAGCCTACACAGTTTACTCTAGTACTTAGGCGCTCCAGATGAGCATCTACCTCGGAGCCTTGCACTGTTGTTTCTTCGGCTTCAGTCAGTTACCCCTTGCAAAGACATGCAGGCGTTACTACTTCACATTCTTAGACCCTCTTTCACACATCTTTTTCTCTCATTTCCTTGTATTTTGTGTTTGTTGTCTTTTTGAGTGTAGATATTTTTATTTACTTTGTCAAATTATGTATTGTCATTATCTGTAACTTTCTAGCAAAGTAATTGGTTAATAAATATTGGTTTAATGAAAATGCACCTCAGAAGGCTGGGCAGTGGTGGTGCACACCTTTAATCCCAGCACTGGGGAGGCAGAGGCAAGTGGATGGATCTCTTGAGTTCAAGGTCAGCCTGGTCTACAGAGCGAGTTCCCAGACAGCCAGGGCTACACAAAGAAACCCTGTCTCAGCAACCAAAGAGAAAGAAAGAAGAGGGAGGGAGGGAGGGAGGGAGGGAGGGAGGGAGGGACAGTGTACTTCAGAGTAAGTGTTTCTTTAGAAAGGAAATATTGGCAAAGTTCAAGGAGAAATATGTTTGTTAGATATGTCTCATTTTTTCATAACCTGAAAAATTATAACTCATTTGATGTCATTTTTATATGCACAACAGTTTCTGTTATGTCATTTTCTGCCTCTTTCTGCATATTTTAAGTTACAAATTAAATTTTTAAATGCCAAAGAAATTTGAAGCATAGATGAAAAGATTAAGATCTTTACCTTACAAATACATAAAATCATATATTATAATGATATGATATAACACTTGCTGGTGAGTAAACATTTAGATCTTTTTTCAATAAATTTTAAAACTAAAAACTTTTAGAAAATCAAAAAAGAAGCAAAAGGAAAATAAGTGAATATTTCATTTTGTGAAGTATGTTCAACTTGAAAAATACAGAATTACATAAATAAATCATATGGGATTAAATAAGTATAAAGAAATCTTCAATATAGTTAAATATAAATCACAACTGTATATGTAGAAGAACTTTTAAATTATTTCTCTACTTATTTCAAAACAATCATTTGGCTCTCACTGTCTGTGAATCTCAGGTTAACATTAAGTCCAAAGCATAAGCAAAGAAAATAAATTCAACACATCTCTTAAGCAAAAAAAGAATGGTTTTTTATTATTGTTTTTGCTTCAAGTGTGTAGTAAAAGTTTTTATTTTGTGGTCATTTCTGATTTCCTGAAATTAAAAAAATCGTGTTGTCAGGCAACATCTTACAAAATTTTAAATTGAAATAGAATTACATAATTTTCTTTCTTCCTTCTGCTTACTCCATACCCTCCCACACACCCCACACGTATACTTGTTCCCTCTCAAAAATGTGGCCTCTTTTTTTTAAGTAGTTATAGTTTTGGGTTTGTGTGTATGTGTGTGTGTGTTTGTGTGTATGTATGTATGTATGTATGTATGTATGTGCATGCACACACACATACATGTGCCTAAATATATACACACAGCCTGCTCAGTCAGTTGAGTGTTCCCCATTTGTGTATGATTTCTGGGCTGACCACTTGGTATTGGATAACCAATACCGGGGCTCCTTCTTGGGGAAAACTATTTCTCCTGCTCTCATTAGTTGACGGTAGTTCTTTATCTTGGGGTGTGGTGCCATGAGACTTCCCCCTCCGTGTTAGCATATCTCTTGGTGTTGTACTTCTTTAGGTCTTGGTTAGGCAGCCATGTTGTTGAGCTATCATTGGTGAAGTTCCCTGGTGCTGGACAACTGTTGATGCTTCTCTTTTTTTTTCAATATTCCCTTGATGCTTCTATTGTTCTTTTCCTCTTACATTCTTCTTTCTTCAGTTTCATCTTAGCAAATAATGTATCCAAAATAAGCCCAAATTAGGATTACTCTGTTTCATGAAAAAAAAAATTTATTCTACAGCAGAAATTATTTACTTTGCCATTGAACTTCCATAGATCATACAGCCTTTAATTTTTTGGTAATCATTTCTTTATAAAATTAATTGAAAATATAGAGATGATCATAGTAGAAAAGAGCTGTCATGATAGTTATGTAGTTTATTCTTTTTTATAATTTATTCTTATGTGTCATAATTTTTATTTTCACTGTGAGACAAAATTTCTTGTGAGCTAAAAAAGAACCAAAAATAGGTAAACTGTAATGGTAATCATGTGTTCTTTACAAATAATAATTAAAGGAGATGTGTCACAGAGTTTTTACAGAACTTGTAAAATGTGGTAAGTGAATTAGGTTGTCACATGACACACAGTTGAATGAACATCACAATGCAAGAGAGCTGCCACTTAACCATTGATCACTACATCATATATTCAGAATATTTTACCTTTGTATGTTTGTACAATGTGCATATCTGTATATCTACATGTTCATTCGTGTGAGCAGAGGCATACTCATGCCATGGTGTGCATGTGGGGTTTTAAGGATAACATCAGGTGTCAGTCCTCACTTCTTCCTTTATTTGAGATAAGCCAGCTAGCCCATGGGCTTGTGGGTATGCTCCCATCTCCACATCTCATTGTGCCATAGGAGCCCCAGGATTGCTGACACAGTACCAAATCTGACTTTTTGTTTGTTCTAGTGATGTGAACTCAGAGCCCCATTTGTGTAGCGAGTACTTTTCCTTCCAAGTCATCTCTTCAACCCCCAGAATTTATCTTCACAAAGCAGTCAGCTAATTTAAATTAATATTAACTTGAAATGTCATGATTTTTGTGGTTGTTTTAATTGGTAAATGTGCTAAGAGTATTTTACATGCATGAGCTGTATACAGTCAATTTTATATGTGTATATCAACATCATATAATCTAAATGCCAAGAGTCTGTTAAGCCTTTTTATCTTTTCAAAAGATTTGTATATTACTCCAAGGATGCATTGTAATTGAGGCCAGAATAAGAAATACCAATTTGGATTATAGCTACATTTTGATTGTACCATGAAAACTAATCATTTTTTCTATTCAATATGGCAAGTAGCCATTTGTCAAATAGTCTGGAAAGGATGTTGTCCAGATCTTAAGTCAGTATGCTCATTTATTGGTTATCACTCAAATATACTATTTTTAAAGTAGATAAAATGAGGAGTAACTTAATTTCTTTCCTGAACCATAGGTTTTATTTTTTATTGCTTTAAGCAATGTCCAATTGTAACTTCATATCATCCTTATTTGCACTATATCATTTTATAGTCTGTACAGTTGTTATGAAAAATGTTTTAAATAGCTAAAAATCTGGATTGTCCCTTAACACGATTTTATTTTTAAAAGATTAATGTAAGTTGATCATAGACTCCATTATTAGAGTTTATTACAAATTCAGTGTGATTTTAGACGCATGCTTTTTATTCAGCAGTGGGTTTTTAACCGGAAATATTTGACCAGCAAATAAAATAATTTGAATATAGTTTGATCCTAATTTTATGAAGCTAAATGTTTTCAATATAATATTTATAATAAGACTAATCAAAAATTGTAACTGAATTACTGAAGTTCTAGAGCGTTATTTTGTTTGTATTCAAAATTATTTTTACCTACCATTCTTGTTGCAGAAGAAATCCTTGTCTTTGAGAGAATACAGTGGTATTATTTACATGAATTCATATGGCGTGGTTAAAAAAAATGCTAACTCCTTTATTTAATGGGATTCTTCCCTTGTGGCAGTGCAAACGGCTGCACCAGGAGCTTCATCGTCTGAAAGAGCAGAGGCAGACTTCAGCAAACAACACGAGACATCCGACTGCTGAAAACAATCAGGAACGTGCTCTGAAGGTAAATGGCCGCTCCTTCTTGCAGGCAAATGAAGGTTGTAAGCCCTTGGTGCCAGCTTTCTGTGCTGCATATATCAGTTGTGTACATTTCAGCAATAGTGAGCTGTGCTGTTTGCCAACAACCCCTTCTTTAAACACAGATACAGCACCCTTCTGTTATGGTATTATTTTATTTCATGTATGTGTACATGAAAAAACAGCGTATTTCTGAATTTTGAGTGGTCGTGTATTAATAACTTCTGATATATATTCATTTTCTTTCTGTGTTTATGTTATTGCCTTTTAGACGTAATGAGAAGTGACCACTCCAAAAGAAATAATAAATCATCAGCCTTTTCTTTGTGGCGACATTTATTGTAACAGTGTTAAATGTGTTGTAGTATTTGTCACCCAGAGAACTGACACTGCTTGAAGGACATGTGAATTTATTTGGAAACTGAAGGGGGACTTTAAATGTTAAAAGGAAAGAAAGACAATGTATCCAACTGGAGCTTGAAACGTGACATATACATTTTATGATGTGTTCTATCTTGTTGTAATACAGGTCCAGTAATCCTGAGAAAAGCCCACTAGTATGAGTCTTACTATTTGGGTGGGGAGTGTGCTCATGACTTTCCATTCTACTTTTTTCTGTCTCTTTTTTCATTATTTCTTTTCTTTGGTGGGAGGGGGGTTCAACACAGGCTCTATAGCCCTGGCTGTCCTGAAACTTACTGTGTAGACCAGGCTGACTTCACACTTGAAGATCCACCTGCCTCTCTGCCTCTTGAGTGCTGGAACTAAAGGCATGTGCCACCATGTCCTTCCATTCTACTTTTAAGTTACTACAATTTTTAATAAAGTGTCTGTCCACTCATGACTCAGCTCTCTAGGTGCTTGTATGCTCATTAACAAGTTTAGTCTGTAAGGAACAAAAATACTGTCTTTTTAATTGTGTGACAAGAGATTTGCTAGTTGCCTTAAATTCAATTTTATCTTAGATTATAAGTCAATATCACGGCTTTAAGAGTCAGGCACAGTAAACCAAAACTGACAAAAACAACCTCAAAAAATGCCTTGCTATGCAAGGATGAGGACTTAAGTAAGATACCCAGCACTCAGATTAAACACTGGGTCCTGAAATGTGCATTTGTGACCAATGAGTCCCTGGGGCTTCCAGTCTAGCCAAGTCCATGAGCTGTAGGAGCAGAGAGCTTCTGTCTACAAGAATGAGTAGTGCAACGAAAGGACATCTAATGTCCGTCTCTCCCTCCATATGGACACCCACACAAGAATATGCACCCACACAAGAACATGCACCCACACAGGAACATGCACCCCCCCACACACACACACATACTGAAAAATGTGTAAGATGTTTTTCATCTGGACAAAGTATGAAACTTAGTAAAATGATTTTTCTACAAAATATTTTCGAAATTCATAGTGGCAGACTTATAAATTAGTTGCCATCAATCCATTTTCTATTGAATTTACAAGTAGACCAAAACTATATATAAGAGAATTATAGATTACTATGATTATTTTTAATTATTCCCAAAGAATAGATAACTTTATGACCATTAAGTATAACTTTTTAAAGTGTGTGTGTACATACAAAATGGGAAATAAATGTTCTAAAGCCATCCTCCACCAAACATGACTCAGGACAGAACGTGTGACAGTATGTTATGGCTGTTTCAAGTTAAAGCAGGACCTAAGATACAAATTCTAACATAGTAGTCATTAACATAGTCAAAGAGAGAAATAATATAAATTTCTGTCACTTTTGCATATTTATGGTAAATGTATTTAAATGGCGATGGCTATTTATGGAGAGAAATACATGCAAACTTCTGAAAAGTTATTAAAGTTAGAAAGGAATAAGTACACCACCCAAGACACATGGGAGTTCAAAGCAAAAATGAATCACCTGTTTAATGGAAATCTCTCTAGACTATAACATTTAAAGTAATATGTAAATGTAATTCGTGTATACTCCTGAGAAATATACTGCATTAAAATCTTTTCTATTTGATCTTTGTTTTTTCTTCAAACGTCTGACTTTGATGTTGCATCTATTAACTAAAGCTGATTTAAGTCCTGGAAAAGAGGAGAGGAAGAATCAGATTTTGAAAAATTTCATCAACTTGGCCTTTCTGTATGAATTGAAACTCTTAAAAACAGCCAGGCTGTGGTGGCGCACGCCTTTAATCTCAGCACTCGGGAGGCAGAGGCAGGCGGATCTCTGTGGAATTCGAGGCCAGTCTGGACTACCAAGTGAGTCCCAAGAAAGGCGCAAAGCTACACAGAGAAACCCTGTCTCGAAAAACAAAAACAAACAAACAAAAAAATGTCTGCTGTGCATAATGCTGACTTTTAGTCTATTTTTAAATGATTCCTTCATGGAAAATTTAAATTCAGTATAAAGATATAATCACTCATAATACATCTCCTTATTCTTTTTTTAAAAGATGTATTTAGATGTGTTTGCTTGCATGTGTGTGTATATGTACACCATGTCTATAACTAGTGCCTTTGGTGGCCAAAAGAGGTCATGGTGTCACTGGAGCTGGAGTAACTGAGCTGTGAACCTCAGTGTGGGAGCTAGGAACCAAACCCAGGTAGGTCCTCTGTAAGTGCTCTTAACCACTGAGCTGTGTCTCTGGTCCACATTTATTTATTCTAAATCACAGTTTTAAATGGTTGTTTGGGGAAATCTCACTTTCATTTGGTGATTGTTTTTCTAGTTGTCATTCAAGTTATAGATGACCCTTTTGATAGGAAACTATCAGTCCATTTATATGTACCACTATGATATTAACTGATTTAACATTAAGTTTGTATTTAAATGAACATTAACATTTTTAAAAGAGTGACTGTCTTTAGAAGTGTTTAATCTCAGCAATATTTCCGATATTACAAATTGTACTATCATCATTAACACTGATAAATATAAACTTTAATCAGAAGCTATCAAATGTCAATAGCTCCTCAGTCAGGAGTGAGCCTTCATACTTATTGCCCTGCTTTGTGCTGGGATTTTGTCTGGTGTGAACTTATACATGTCTTGTGCATGCTGTCACGGTCTCTGTGAGTTCATATATGTAACTGCCCTGTTGTGTACAAAGCACTATTTCCTTGAAATCATCCACAACCTCTGGCTCTTATAATCTGAACACTTCCTCTTCTAACAATATTTCTGTGGCTTGGAGAATGGGTGTAATACAGGTGTCCCATTTATGGCTGTGATGTGCACTCTGAAGCCTCTTAGGCTCTATACATTGACTAGTCATGGGTCTCTGTGTTAATTGCCGTCTCCTACAAAGAAGAATCTTCTCTAATAAAAGCTGAGAGACATGCTGATCTATGGGTATAGTGATAAGTCATTGGGGATCATTTTAATACTATGTCTGTTTAGCAAAATAGTAGTAGGTTCTCTCTTAGGGCCTATGGGTTATCTAGCCACTGTTTCTTGGCCTCATGAAACAGGTATGGGTTTCATTTCACAAAGATAATTGTGAATTGAGCCTGAAAGTGGTTGGTTAAACCCATAACATGTGCCACTATTACAGCATTGAGCATACCTTGTCAAGCCACACATCAATATAGTTCAAAATGGTTCAGAGCTGGATTACTGTTCTTCTCTAGTACTGCTCATGGAGCCTTCCAACATTACAAAAACTAGATGCTAGTAGGGATGAAGCTTTGCAATCAGCACACACTCAATTTCTCCATGTTTATAATTCAACTAAGTGATATCTTCAACATAAGACAACAGGAAGAGGTTATTATTGTCAAGTTCTGGATGGAGGCTAGCCAAGAGCAATAGAAGTAGCTTGTAATTTTAGGATGCTTATGGGGTACCTTTGGGCAACAAGTCAAAAGAAGGTAACCCATTTCTGATACTGTAGTTTGTATTTGGTAACATGTGGTATCTAGTTGTGGTATCCCTCCCATTACAAAGTAACTCCATTTAAACTCATTTTATATATGAATATATTTTAGGAAGCTTCTGAGTAGTGGGTTTCCATATGACTTTTTTCTTAGCAGCACCTGGAACCTTCTCCAAAATCATATTATAGAACATAAATCATGTCTTGATGAATAAAAAAATAGATAATTCCTTGTGTTCTGTTCAGCCACAATGGAATAAAACTAGAAATTAACATCAGAGAAACTATAGAAACCCCAAAAAATGAGAATAAAAAATTACATTTTGAATAACAGTGGGCCGTCCAAGAAATCATAGAAGAAAATTAAAATTTCTTTTTTTTTTTTTGAGACAGGGTTTCTCTGTGTAGTTTTGGTGTCTGTCCTGCATCTTGCTCTGTAGACCATAGACCAGGCTGGCCTTGAACTCACAGAGAACCTCCTGGCTCTGCCTCCCCAGTGCTGGGATTAAAGGTGTACACCACCGCTACCTGGAGAAAATTGAAATTTCTTAAAGGCAGATGATAATGAACATACAACCTACCACAACCTCTGGGAAACAGCCAAGGAAATCTTAAGAAGAAAATGTATAGCCATAAGTACTCGTATCAAATAACCTAATGGTGGTGTACCTCATGGTTCTCAAAACACAACAGGCAGCCCATCCCAATCACAGTGGATGGGGTAGGAAATGATAAAGCTCAGAGAAGTAGAGATTAAAAGAACAATACACAAAATTAGCCAAACAAAGAGTTGTATCTTTGCTGGAGGCATTAGTATAACCAAACATAAATAATACTGCAGAGCTATAGTGACAAAGTCAGCCTGGCGGTACTGACAGAAAAACAGACAGGTAGACCAATGGAACAGAATGAGGACCCAAAAATAAAATGTTAAAGCTATGTCCATTTAATCTGTGACAAAGGATGCAAAAATGTACATTGGAAAACAGTGTATTAGACAAATCATACTAGCAAAATTGGATATCTTCCTGCAGAAAAATGAATTAAATTAATGTCTTTCAACTTGTACAAAAATTATTTCCAGATGAATCAAAGATCTTAATTTAAAGTCTGAAATGTTGAAACA